TAAAAATGGCTGTCCACTAACGTTTACCATCCAACCTGACAGAACTGGGGAGGATCTGCAAGGAGGAATGGCAGAGGATCCCCAAGTCCAGGTGTGAAAAACTTGTTGCATCTTTCCCAAAAAGACTCATGGCTGTATTAGATCCAAAGGGTGCTTCTACTAAATACTGAGCAAAGGGTCTGAATACTTAGGACCATGTGATATTTCAGTTTTTCTTTTTTAATAAATCTGCAAAAATGTCAACAATTCTGTGTTTTTCTGTCAATATGGGGTGCTGTGTGTACATTGAGGAAAAAAAATGAACTTAAATGATTTTAGCAAATGGCTGCAATATAACAAAGAGTGAAAAATGTAAGGGGGTCTGAATACTTTCCGTACCCACTGTATATATCAGCAGGTTATGTTCAGAGAGTAGGTTGCTATGGCTACTTACATACACTGAGAGTTACCTCTGTTTTTGGAACCGAAAGCCGAGTTTATCCACTTGCTTACCTTAAATATGTCACATAACCTGCTTTGTGGAATACCCCCCTGGTCTTTTAAATTGTAATAATATTACTGTTTTTTTCCTGCATTTTTAATCAAAATAATCAAATAAATGCACATTATTAAAAAAAATATTCATGAGAATAGGAGATTGCTTTTAGAAATATTAAAAAGTCTTAATTATTTCAAAGCTTTATATGTGTAAGTGTGTTTTGTTTGGGAAAAGAATCTTCTTTGTATGCAGCATGATTGGAGTGAATAAACTTAGCTTTACTCTGTATGTTTACCTTTATTGTCTTGTAGTGTTTGTGGTTTGCAAACTTGGCAATGACTCCCAGAAGGCTGTTCAGCTGCTGGAGAAAATGTCTGGACAAGAAATTGAGCAGATCACTGTGAAGGACGTCAGTGGAGGATTGATGGCCTGGGCTAACAAGATAGACCCCTCTTTTCCTCAATATTGACTGCCGTTAATCATCTGTATTAATGTCATGAATTAAAGCATTAAAGTTGTTATCAATGTACTTTTATTTCATTTATTTTGTTATTGGTATGAATTTTTATGGCACCTCTCCACCCCCTGCCTTTTTGTTGATTAAAGTATATCTTAATGTGTGTAATATAATCAAACTGATTTCTTTATTTCTACAAATTCTAGTAATAGTCATTCTTCCTCTGTACCTTTAATTTTATACCGAGATTCTTGAATTAATATAGAGTAAAGTTATCATTATCGCTTGATACATTTTATACAGCACATGGCTGCAGTGATAAAAACAAGTGATACCTTGTGGGATATGCAGAACATGTATAATATTAACAAAATAAAGAGATCATAAAAGTTTTTTTTGTAAGTTTTTTTAGATCAGCCATGCCTTTTCCCATCAGAAATGCTTACAAATCATCCACAAGACAAAATAATATATGCATTTTAAAAGATGAACTTGTTCAAAAGTTTGAAATGATTGTGCGCAAAGATTTGCAGAGGATGCTAAAAAACTGTTCAGTTAACAATAGACTCGTGAACAACTATCACAAAACATAAAAACATTTGTTCATCCAGATAACAACAGAGGAAGAGTCAAACATAGGCCTGTGTAATTATTTGAATGGGGTCTTCTGTGATATATGTTATGTAAAATAGATTAAGGCAATAAAAAACAAACAAACATGCAATCTTTGGGATCCCTCATATTTTGTTGAAATGATTAGAGAGCCTAAACTGCAGCTATAATGACTGTACTTAATTTTAACTATAACAGGCCATTTGCAAACATTATTAAACAGCTTCACCGATTAATAGTTAATTGCAATAATTAGAAATAATATTATAATACAGGAGTAAAGCTTTTTCATATTTATATTTCAATGAAATACCGAACCATACCATTTATATAATACTATATAGAAATATATGATATATCGTATAATCAACAATCCGAGCTTTGTGGACGATCGCAGAGAAATATCGCAACAATGTAACTAATATTCAAGAAGACGCTACAAAGCGTTGCGTCACAGTGGCTGTGGAACGACGCCGGTAGAGGGCGCGAAAACGCGCTCAGCGCGCACATAACGGAAACTGCGCGTGAGGGACATGCGCGTCAGGCAGCGAGAGAAAGAGAAAAACATTTCTGCACTTATGAAGCTCAACTTCTTCAGCTCGACAGACCTGCCATTTCCTTCAGGCTTTACTTTCTCTGTCTATGCGGCGTTTCTTAGTAGCCCGCGGAAACGGAGAGCAGATACTGAGGCGCGTTTGAAGGAGTAGAATGTAACATGAAAAGAGGATAGAAAGTTTTCAAATCGAGCTCATGTAAGGGACTCTACAACCGAGCGATGCTTTACTGGCTTTACTTTAAATTAAGCATCAGAAGCTTCCAAAAAGAAACCTCGAGGCGTTCAAGTCCTCGCTTTCCATTGATAGTAAGCTTTTTTTTCATCTCTTGTTAGGGAAACGCCTTTCCAGCCTTAAAGGTATGTTTCCTCGCTTTTCCTCTTGTCTTCAGTGTGTCCTTCTAGATTGATTTCGTCTTGAGATTCAGATGCTCATGATGCGTGATGATAAAGCCTGCACAAAAGACATTGTATAACTTGTTTTGCTGGTATTTGTGGTCTTGTGCCAGTTTTGTGATCTAGAGTGGGAGGGTCTCCAGATGTGCTTCCAGATGTGAGCTGGAGTTCCTAAGTGCAAAAGACAAAAAAATGTGCAAAACTCTTCCAGAATACGTTGAGTTTCACTTATGCAGATAATGGCTTCATGAGCACTGGGAACAAATATGGAATAAAGACTTGAATCTGTTTTGTTTCAAACAGGAATGAGGAGCTGGATGACAATGGAAGCCACTTTGTCAAACATCACGCTGGCATCCTGATCGCTCAGCCGTGGAGTGACAACCTTATCAATCCAACGTGTGCAACATGTGCTGGAAATCACACAGCCAGCCATGAAGCATGCTATCCGGATTGCAGGTTCTTAGAGGGAAACGCAGCGGAAAAATAGGCACCTTATTCTTTGGTCCGATTTCGCTTCCTCGTACGGCACAGATTGCACATGACCGCAGCGATTCTCTTCACCTGCCTTAGGACAGAAGAATATTGTGTTTAATTCAAAACACAACCTGCCCACTCACTAGATATCAGCCACGGTTTCCAAGCTTGTCAGTTTTACACGGTTTACTTTCAATCTGCGGAGGAAACTAATGTCTGCCAGTAGTAGCCCCTCTCCTCTGACCTTACCTAAACCCTTCGTCCACTCTCAGCATCAGACTGCACCCCCAACCCCCTCTCCATCACCCAGCCCTCCGGTGCCACTCTGCGGCCGTCTCTCCAATGGGAATCACAGCGTTCCGAGCCCCACCAGCTCCCTCCACGGAGTGTCCTTCCTCCTTCAGATCGGACTTACTAGGGAGATGGTCACCCTGGAGCCACACGATCTGTCCCTCAGTTCTGTGATCTGCCTTAGGACAGAAGAATATTGTGTTTAATTCAAAACACAACCTGCCCACTCACTAGATATCAGCCACGGTTTCCAAGCTTGTCAGTTTTACACGGTTTACTTTCAATCTGCGGAGGAAACTAATGTCTGCCAGTAGTAGCACCTCTCCTCTGACCTTACCTAAACCCTTTGTCCACTCTCAGCATCAGACTGCACCCCCAACCCCCTCTCCATCACCCAGCCCTCCGGTGCCACTCTGCGGCCGTCTCTCCAATGGGAATCACAGCGTTCCGAGCCCCACCAGCTCCCTCCACGGAGTGTCCTTCCTCCTTCAGATCGGACTTACTAGGGAGATGGTCACCCTGGAGCCACACGATCTGTCCCTCAGTTCTGTGAAGGATTTGGTCTGCTCCATAGTCGATCAAAAGGTAATAACGTTTCAAGGATATTTCTTATGTGCATGATCCACTCGCTTACCGAGTCTAGGGACTTGGTTACACTTTATAACATCATTTGATAGTGTATGTCAAATCTCTACACATTTTTGCTTCAAAAAGTATATATGTTTTCAGACCACATGCTTATTTTTGAAATTGAGTTCTGGTCATTTCTGTAAAAGGGTAAGACTAATTGACTGATGCGAGTTGTTTCCTGTAATCTTCAGGAAGTTGATTTAGGTGGATGAGCATGAGGAGCATTAGTGACTGATTAAAGAACACATTTTCATTCAATCTCATCTAAATCTGCTTTGATCCACATGCATTTCCACAAACACGGCAGATGAGGTGGGATGCATGTTGCTAGCAGCACATTTCCGCTGTTCAGATGGTGAAGGCAATGGCTATGGATTTCTGACCTCAGTCATAACTTAGTATTACAGTAAATGTATGATTTGAATTCATGTAATTTGAATGCTTGGGTAGTCTAAAGAGAGAGAAAGCTGTGGTGCCAAAGGCTATGTGTGTTGTTAGGCCTTTTCTGTCTAGTTGGATGGATGGATGGATAGATAAATAGATTGATAGATAGGCCTAGATATTGGTGTTACACAAAAAGATTTTTGATTGTTCATTAGAGGAAAACAGGAAATAAGTCCAATCAATTAGAAAAAAATAAAATCCTAAAGCCTAAATCAGAACAGCCTGATGCACTGTACTGAAATGCCTATTTTTGGTCGACTTAACTCTATAGCTGTGTCCCAATTCAGGGGATGCAACCTTCAAAGGCCGCAAGGTTCGAACTAAACGTTAAATGAGATGGTCTAGCCTACAGAGGATTGCTTATGACACCTAGCAACCGTGACAGCTGCTTTTGACGTGCATCAATGATTCAGTATCATTTTAACTAGACTTTGTTTTATATATATATTTTTTAACTGTCTGAAAACTGGGCACAAGTAGTCTAAACATTTTCCCCTTGGTTGATATATGTGTGCTAAAGTAAAAATGCGTCTTTGTGCATCTCCATCATCATTTAAACCACTATAAAGTTTTTTTGTAACATTCATATTGTTAGATATGTTTAGGTATGCAGTAGGATTATGGGATCTAAAATATGGTCATGCAAAATAAGGCATAAATATGTGTTTTATAAGTACTAACAAATAGCCAATATTCTGGTATTATGCGTGCTAGTTAATAGTGAGAGTTGGTCCTTAAAATAAAGTGCTACCAAAACATGTTATTACATTTGACTTGATGGTTACACCACATGACATTATGGGCCAGATTTACTAAACATGGCAAATTAGTGTTAGAGCACAATTCCATAAAGGAAAAGAAAGAGGAAAATGCTGCGGGTGATTTACTGACAAGGTGCACGTTAAAGAACATGCACTGTAAAAAATAAAAAGTTAAGAAAACTTTAGTTTAAGGCAACCAGCTTCAGGAGATTTGAGTTTTTGTAGGAGATTTTTGAGTTTGCTCAACTTTTTGTTGTATAAACTGAAAACAACAAGTTGAGAAAACTCAAAAGTTTTCTGAAGCTGGTTGCCTTAAACTTTTACGTTTTCTCAACTTTTGATTTTGTATTTTTTTTTTACAGTGCAGATGCAACATCTCATTTCCATAATGACCAGTGCAATTTACCAAGAGCAGCGCAAATTACCTCCTGCTTTAAGACATGCTTTTTTGGGGCGTTAAATAATGCTGCAAATCTTAGTAAATTGCGTTGCATGATTCATTTAAACACTCTCCTCCCATAAATTTTCCGATCAAAAGGGAAACTCCTACAAATGCATATTCAATAAGATGAGGCGCGGAAATTAGTGTAACTGTGTCCCTGCCTTTTCAGCACTAATTTCCCACTGCGTGTCTTTAGTAAATCCTGACCGTAGTTTTTTAATGCCAAATGAGGGTTTGTGCTGGCCGAAGCTGATAGTAAATCTGGCCCTAAAATCATTCAATTGAAACTTTACAAGAAAAGTTTTACATTTTAGATTTTTATGGTGTAATAATATAAAAGTTTTCAAAAACATATAAAACAACATGAATACAAAAATATATTATAAATATAATTTTTGTGTTGTTTACAGTAAAATATAGGCATGTAGTTATGCATGTGTCATTGTTAATCAATGTAATATTGATATTTTAAACAAAGGTCTGGTTTTTCACATGCACTGTTATGACAGAACACAATAACCTTGAAAAATCAATTAGAGAGTTTTTTGGATAATACAAGCACATTTTTACCTTTCTGTGTAATGCATGGGGCAGATAAGTGCATGCGTACAATCTATTAGACATTTTTATTGTTTTATACATTTTTATAAATTGTCACACATTGTACATACAGCAAACACATGCTTTTTCTGAGAAGATGTTATCACCTTGTGTTTACATTAATTCTGCTTTAATCAGCTACTTCATGTCAAAGTTTCAGTTATTGGATCTGTTAAAGTTGCAGTTTCTGTTCATATTTCTCTTTTTAGTGTCCAAAATTTAGGTGCATTCCCAGTAGGTCTTCAAAAATTAATGGTTGAAATTTAGAATAAATCGATAGTGAAAATAAACAAATTATTGATTAATTGAGTTGCATGGAGAACCACTGTCATTGACAACTCTTTAAAGTTTTTTTTTTTTTCCTGTTTTGAAAATGTAAATATATTTATTTATTTTACTGATCACCTTCATATTTTAAATAAATTGTGCAGTATGTAGCACACATTCAGAAGATTTCTATTATGGGGAAATTTGAATTTGTCAGTTCAAGAAAAAAAAAACCAAAACCATTAGACTGATCAGCACACTGCCAAATTTGGAGTATGCACTTTAAAAGTCTTGAATAAAGGATTTCGAATTCTCATTGCACTCTTTTAGTTGTATTGGCTTGTTTGGTAAATCTAAATCTCAGGCTTTGGTTTTTCTACCAATTAATATAAACTGTGTAAATAAATCTCTGCCTTTTAAAACCTGTAAGCGGTGGCTTCAAATCATGGCCTTGTTCTGAGAGCAGCTATGTGGTCAGGTGACCTGTGAATGACAGCATCTGTGCCATTACTGTCTGGTAAAGAAGCTGAATATCACACTGTTAGACATTTAAAAGGGTTTTTACAGTAACTTACTGGCAACACTGTTGCCAGTAAGTTACTGTAATTAAGGTTTACAGTAGGAAACTGTACTGTTTTACAGTAAATAACTGTAAAAAAAAATCAAATTCATCAGTATACTACTGTAATTCATTTTAATATATTTCAATATATATTTAATATATAATTTTTATTTAGAATTCATTTTATTTTTACCCTACATAGGTACTACTGACATTCAATTAAAACACAATAATTACAATATATCAAATTCTTTATTCAAAACATTGCATGTAAAACACTTATAAATAATAAGTCTTCCCATGCTGGAACAGTGCATTTTCATTTATCTTGTCTTAGGACATTTTGCAGTGCATTGTTGTATCATCTGGATTTAACCTAACAAAGAATCTTTAGGCAACAGAAACATAATGGGGAAAAAAGATAAGCAGCCAAAGAATACATAGCCATCTGCAAAACCCAGGTGCTGCTCCAAAACGTGGCACACTTTTAAAAGGCAAACCCCATATAGAATACGCAAATCTCTCAAAACCATAGTTGTTTTCTTACCATGAATTATCAGTCTCAGGGTGGCTGGCCTACTCATGTCTTTCTTGATGCTTAATTGTAGTTGCCTTTAAAACACAAATACAAAAAATGCAGTAAATCTTAAATTCCATTAAAAACTATAACAAACAAATTCTAAAACTAGAAAGGCAGCTAGCCATAAAACTTGTTTAATCTAGCTAACATACGATTTTATTTTCTCAATAGGCTTCTGGCCAACATTAACTACTAACACCTGAACAAAATTTCACATTAGTTAACTTGATGTTAATACAAGATAAGCGTTGTAGGGTTGTGCCGATAGACGATAGTATCGTGTATCGAAGATAGTCAGAGATATCGACGATAGCAGATGTCTTTGTCGATAGTCAAGACGATATTAGGCTCATTCTCCTATTAATGTATTAAATAATAATAATAATAATAATAATCATTATTATTATTAGGCAGCCCATTATAATTCGGCTATTATTATCAAATTGCCCCGCTTTTTTATTCAGCACTGTATTTCACACGCGCGCAAATGAGGAGCCTGTAGCCGGTGAAGGAGTCTCCAACCACAAACAGACACATATCGTCTACTGATATAAGGTATTTCGTTGCACTTTAACAAGTAATCTGAATGGCCTATATATGTACAATATTTTAACTGAGCACTCACTAACTGAGTTTAATGCCACAGTTATGTTAGAACGCATCTCATTCTTGTTTCTGTGGTGGTGCGTTGGGCTCTTCATGGGGCGCGCAGTCCAGAGCGCTGTATGACTGATGTATCTGTTTAATTTAAATTTACTTCAAATATATTAACTTACCTGTTTGAAGTACTTTATTTTTAACGTGTTCATTTATGTCCAATATTTAGTGTTAAACTGTTGGTCTTTAAAATAAATCTACTTTTGATTTTCAACATTGACTGATTTTGCAGACCTTCCGTGCGTCGATGCGGCAAACTTGTCACAGGTCACACGGTCCTAATAGCGATGTATGACTGTTGTATCCGAATATATATGAACTAGCTGTTTTAAATATTTTTGTATTTAACATGTTAGTTTATGAGTATGTTTGAAAGTATATTATTTAGATTTGTGGTGCTTCCACAGGCTCCCTCTCTCTCTCTCTCTCTCGCGCACGCGCGTGCGGTTTAAAACACCAAATAGTTATGAAATAAGGTTGTGACAGTGAGGAAATTTTCCCACCAATTAATCGACGTGTGACAACACCGATAATACCGGTATCACTGTGGGGGCAGGGGAGTTTCCTCTTTTCCTTGCTTTCCTTTGCTTTTAAATAGCTTGTAAAAGCGGCGTGCGCATTTTACTTTCACTTTCAAATAGC